ATATTATATTATATTATATTATATTATATTATATTATATTATATTATATTATATTATATTATATTATATTATATTATATTATATTATATTATATCGTATCATATCATATCATATCATGTCATATCATATCATATCATATCATAACATATTATAAAGACAAATCGTAACTAGAGAATTTAAGCAAACTTTGAAATCTATCTCTTTATTCAATTTATCTTATTTACTTGTAAACAAATATTCTTTATAAATTTAATCTAAATATTCTTTATAAATTTTAAAAATATTCTTTAGGCCGCAAGTGTAGTGAATCTGCCAGATCGAGAATCAATTTATTTCAGTTGTCAAATAAAGCTTTGTTTCAAAAACGGAGGCTACTGCACTGATCTTACAGTACATTACTAACATTTTAATTCATTTGCTTTAATGAATATAAAAGCACCATTTCTAGTTAGGTTCCATTGTTGGTTTTGCTAGAGAATCATTTGAGATAAGCAAGCAATTTATAGCATGGACCGAATTTTTTATGATACGTTTCCTTCTGCAAGATATAGGGTCCGAATAATTTTCCACACATTGACAATCTTAGCAGCCGGCTACTCTTATGATCGCAGGTGAAATTGCATAGCTATTCTATATTTTTCAGCCACCTAAATGTGAAGAAATTATTCAAAATATAGAGGATGACCTACGTGATGATCAGCTAATCGCAACTACTTCTGGTTTACCAGTTACGTCAAGAACTGTAAAAGTATTAACATCAGGAAGAAATCCAAGGACAACATCGCCAGCAATTTTACTGCTACAAAATGAGAAGAAAAATGATATCATAGTACCACCAGCTCGTATGCACGACATTTCGAATAATTTTTCAAATATACCCAGTAATGGCGCAATTTCTTCAAAATTTAAGTTGCATTCACTCATCATTCCGATCTCCAAGCAAGAGATAGAAGGTCTAATTTAGTATTTGAAAGGAGAAAAGAAAGAGGACAGTTCAAATATATTGCTTTTGTAAGATTATAAGCTTATAGTTATAGCTTATATTATAAGCTTATAGTTCTAGAAATGAAGACTGAAAAATAATGAAAACTAGGAAATTTCAAATGTTGTTTAAAAATTTCGAACATTTGTCAGGCTCTGGTGCTGAAAATAATGTGGAATCAGCAGCATCCCCAGTTCTTAAACCACAGTACAAAGTTTTGAAATCAACTCGAGATAGGAGAACAGCAACTGATGAAAATGATAACATAATCGATGTTGATGTGACTTCCTCAAAAGTTAAAATTATTGAGCAAGAATTTGGTAAGGCGAAATTTTTATTAGCTCATCTTTATTTCCAGCTATTTTTGAAATTGTGCCAATTTCATTTATTTATCTCCAAATTTCGCCGTCTTAACTTAATGAATTTAAACATACGCAAATGAGGACCCAACGGAACACCAATCGTATAGAGCATGAATCACGAATTTATTGTGGCTTTAGCCTCAGTCGAAACAATACGACATCCTCAATGAAACCCTAATATAAGGAAATCCTACTTAATTCCTTTTCATTCTTCCTTATTTCGGAATTACGGAAATCCAAGTTTAATTTTTATCGCTGCTTGAAACACGAGAACAAAAAGGAAAATTTCAGCTAAGACTCCAAAAATCTTTTTTTAGAATATCCGGAGCAATCACTTCAACTTCAGACTTTTAATAACATTCGTTACGATCGTGATTCAATATGTGTTCCACTCTATGGAATTTGGATTCTATTAGGACTGTGTGCAATTTCAGTTGCTATGGCAAGTGCAGCTTCATATCGTGCGCGCACAACCAGTCGAAAATTTGTACCTTTCTGTCAGTAATTATTAGTATTTTTTAATATTTAAGCCGAATAGAGGTAATCGAAATCAATATCACTCGAAGAGAATTTTTCACTAAATCGTTAGTGGGTTTAATTTAACCTTTCATACTCACCATGTTTTTCTTCCAAACAAAAAAAAACTTCTAGGTTAAATCAAATCAGTAGAACGGAGCGCAAGTGTAATATTTCTGCGAGATCTAATTCTTAGAACACCGAAAAAAAAATTTTGAAGGAATGAACTCATTGATTCACAATAAACGCCATGTTCAACTTGTTCTATCATTTATTAAATTAGTTATCATGATTCTATTATACTGTAAGATAAGTATCTCTATTTTTTGAATAATTCGGATATCATGAAAATCCCAGCCACGAAGTTCGTGTCCAGCAGAATCCAACGTGAATCTATTTTTTTCTAAATCCATCCATTTTATATCGTGGCTTTAGAGCAACTTTTTATTATATTTAAAATTTTGTGGCTTTAGCCTCAGTCGAAGCAATACGACATCCTCAATGAAACCCTAATATAAGGAAATCTTACTTAATTCCTTTTCATTCTTCCTTATTTCGGAATTACGGAAATCCAAGTTTAATTTTTATCGCTGCTTGAAACACGAGAACAAAAAGGAAAATTTCAGCTAAAAAACAATAAATTAATGATTTTTAATTTTTGTCCTTGGCTGTTTTCATCTTGACACCAATTTGGCAAGCTACAATTCAAAAGGATTCGTGGCTACACAAAAAGGATATCCTCAAAAAAAATATTGTTAAGATTCTGTTATAGAAAAGGAAGGATAAAGGGGACGCATTTACGCAGTCTTTTTTTAAAATTTAATCTCACTACATCTGCCAAAATACATACAATGCTTCTTTTTTTGCCTGTTGTTGTTGAACGATAAGTTTTTTTTGATAAATATTTTTGAAAATTGAATCCTTTATGAATTTACAAGAAAAATTGGTTCAAAGTCCTTAATACACTTACCCTTTTCTTTTAATTAGACGTCGAATGAATATAAATTCTATGCCTTTCTGTTTCCTAACATTTCTTATAAATTTTCATGATGAAAAATTGCAGTTGAAGACAACAGCTGTTAAAGCATAACTGTCAAGTATACTTCGGAAGGTCTCAAACAGTTCTATAAGAATTGAATTAAGGAAATAAAAAAAATCGACAAGAT